AATCTTTTCTCTTTTTGAAATACATTTCTTTTTTCTTGATCTTCAGGGCTTTTGGCAGATTTTCTCCAATAAACCCAAAGTACTATGTTCATTTTTATTAATATTAGTTGGTGAAGCACCAACTCTGTGTCAGGAACACTCAAGAAGCAAATATAAGTTAATGTACACAGACTCTACAAAACAAAACCAATAAAAATATTACTACTCTGGAACAGAGAGATAATATCATAGGCAAGAGTTCTTGGATTATAATGAAAAAAATGAAGAGACTTGGGAAACATCCAACTCTTTTTGGGAAGAACTGGAGGCTCTTTAAATTATTCATAGCCAAGACCTAAGATAAAGAATTGATGTAAAGATTCAAACATTTAAAAATGGCACATATACAACTGGGAGAGATCCTGAATGCACTCAGCGAGGAGACAAACATATGTCTGCATTCTAATTAGATACAATTTAATGATATCATTATACTCAGGAAGAATACACATCCACATTTGATGGTTGACCTATTTGCCCCCATGTAAATAACCAGAGTATCACTGCACTGAGTGTGAAAAGAGTTCATCTGGCTGCTCACACAGACAAAGCTAGCCAGAGTGTGGCTGCTGGTGTTCAAGTTAATGAAGTGAAAGGTGTCACTCAGATCAAAGACTCCATCAAGCTAAGAGGCCTAATCAGGAACCTACAGAACTGCTGCAGACATGGTCCAGTTCCCCAAAGGTCTTTGGGACAAAGATGGAACCATTTTGGGGAGTTAATGAAAAGTTGGCAGAGAAGAACAAGAGCAGGAGAGAGAGGACTCCAAAATGTAAGCTCAGGGAACACACACAATGCTGCTTCTTTCTGAGCTTAGCAACTGCTTAGGGCAAACTCAATACTTCTAATCAAGTATCTCTTGGAGTAGCTCTTTCATCTCTGAAAATGTCATATTCTTTCCCTTCATCTTCTGTTTCTCTGCAAGTGCTGAACACTGTGACATCATCTGCATCAGGACTGACACCAGTGCCAGAATTATTGGGAATTACAGACACTCCTGCACGTGCAGCATGAAAATGTGCCTGAGGAGTTCATCCAACTGGACTTCACCCTGGGGCTGTGCTGGGTGGGTAACTCATCCAGCATCCCAAGGATGTGTGAAGGAAGGACTGAAAGGTTCTTTGGGGCACATTATCAGTACCTTCTTTGCAAATTGAATGCAAGAAGTTGCTCAAAAATCAAGCATCTGATTCTAGGGCACTGTCTGAAGAGCTCTGAAAAAAGTCCCATTACAAAAACATTATGTGACAACATAACTATTATACAGGATATGTGATATAATTATTCTTCCTTAGGGAAGTGGTCACTTTCACAGTGACCTTAACTTCAAAGTCCAGAGGCATCTTAGCTTTCTGTGGCCTTCCCACCACACATAGGTGGAGTGATGGTAACAGGTACAGACTAGAGAACATTGTAAATGTCAAATTTGATTTAAAATAACAGAAGTCTCAGAGTACAACTAACTGTTACATCATTAAAGCCTACAAGCACAATTTGCAGAGTTCTGGCCAGGTTTTATGTCATCTTGGAGTCCCATCTCTCCAGAGGGAACCATTTCACAACTCTACTGACATCAGAAGAATTCCAGTCCCAAAGCTAAAGAGTTTAACTCTTCTTTTTGACTGCAGCTTCATCCTGTAATCAAATATCACGTGTGTTCACTACAGTCAATACATGAAAATGTAAATGACTTCTCCACAAGAAAAGCAGCACTGAAAGAGAATTAGATGTTCCTGGAACCTGCATAAACCTTTAACAGAATGAGTCAAAATATCTATTTAAATATAGAAAAGAAGTCAATAAAAAGCTAAATGTTGAAAACTCTTTAGAGAGGGAAAAAACCCCCTCATCATCTTTTTCTCCCACTCCAATTTACTCATGTGCACTGCTCAAAGGGAGCTTTTTTATGAGATATTTTCAGTGTTCCAAGGTTGCTTCCTTTGAGCATTGTTAGCATGTCCACTGCTCTGCTCGGGTCATGCTTTGTGAATGCTCATTTCCTCTGCCAAGAAAATACCACAGCTGAACGTTACAAACAGCAGTGTCAGCCAAGCTCACATCTGCACACACTTAGACATGCAGCTTGTCTCCTGCTTTTAGTCATTCCTGGCAAACCTGACGATGCTCATGAGCTTTGTGCAGGCCATTACACCTGGCTGAGGAGTGTTCATGCCCCAAGTGCTGCTGAGGCAACCTGGAACACACCTGAGGCTCTGCTGAAACCAGCCCAATAGCTCTGAGAGCTCCCTGGTGGCACAGAACCACAGCATGGGTTGGGTTGGAAGGACCTTAAAGCTTATCTAGTTCCATCCCCTGCCATGGGCAGGGACACTTTGCACCAGCCCAGGTTGCTCCAAGCCCCTTCCAACCTGGCCTGGAACACTCCCAGGGATGAGGAATCCACAAATTCTCTGGGCACCTTATGCCAGTGTCTCACCACCCTTACAGGGAAGAATTCCTTCCTAATGTGCCTAAAGACTTTGAGGAAAAAAACCCTCAAACTTTGGTCAGCTCAACTAGGTGTTTTGAGAAAATGCTGAAAACACATAAATGTTTTCTAGAAACAAAGCAGTAGAAGAATATGCATGTTGACAACTCTAACAGTGCCCAGGGAATCTCTCAAATTCATCAATCCAGACAAAATCTGATGTGACAGTGTTCAGGGACTGCTCAGGAATTAATGTTACCATAAACAATGTACTAGCTTTAAAGTTGAGATTTCTAAGCACCAGAAAATTAAAGGCCTCTGTAAATTATGTGTCTGAAATATTGAAAAGCTGTCTACAAATACCAACAGATATTTACATGTTCAGTGTGATTGCAATAACTGTTCTCCTGTCTCTGCTCCTCACTCTCCTCCTTCCCATCCCCACAGCACCAGGACTATGGGGAGGGCAATTCCTTATAAATCCTGATCTCTTTCTACCCATTTTCCTTTCTATTTTTATTTTTCACTTAAGTATGAACCATTTCTTTTGTACTTCCATCGTGTTCATGTTAACAACAGTCCACAGTGACCCAAAGCAATGCACAGAGAAATCAACATTACTCACAGAGCAGATCAGAGAGGAATGAGATCCTCACTTGAGAACGGACTGACCTTCAGAAAATCTGGGCAGTCAGATGTTCCACGCCTAAACAGGGAAATTCAGCTCCCCATTGCATTTGTAAGCAATCTTCACAGAATTGGCAGAAAAAAAAAGGCAATTCAGAGAAGAAACTTTTCTCCCATATTGTCCTAAATTTCAAGGTAACAAGATCTGGTAGAGAAGCAAAAAGTTTTTTAAAAACAAGTTTCGAGGCTCATGTTGTAATTAAGATTTTTTTTTTTTCCTCTCTGGATAAAATCTCCTTCATCAAAGTTCTGGGGATTGTAATAGGATCAAGGTTTGTACTAAGTTAGCTGAAACTGTTACTTTTGAGCTTTAAGTGTAGTTTGTCCTCTAAGCGACTTTGGCTTTTGGACCTTGTGGCCAATTTCCACAGTTTGGAAGACACAAAGGAAGCAGAATGAAAAAGGAGATTTGCAGGTGATATCAGGTATTTTCACATGTCTGTGAAAGACTTTTCAACAGAGATTCTTTTTCCCCCTCCTGTCTTTCACTCAACATGTGCTCTTCAGATTAAAAATTAGGGAAGTAGGTTAAACAACAGCAAAAAAAGTCATTAGCAGTTAATATAGCTTAAAATGAACAATTTTTTTGAAAAATAGAAAAATCCAACAAAGAAACCCCAGTATTTCTGACAGAAATGACAATTCAAGACTATTAAAGATATTGCCCTATGAAGGATTATTTGTAACTTTAATTTGAGGATGTAAAGAAGTTAACTTTTCTTTTGCTATACTACACATGTAAAAAAAAAAGATCAAAGAAAGAAAAAGAATTGAGATTCAAATTCCATTTTTAAGCAAAAATGACAATGTCTTCCTGAGTTAAAATTAATCCTTTAATGATGAATTTCAAAGGTTTAAATACTTTCTGTGACCTTGGCTTTAAATAATTATGCCAAGCAGAGCTTTCCTTACATTGAGAAAAGATTCTGAATTGTTGATCACAGCCATTTTAATGGCTTCAGCCTGGCTGATTTCCAACATAATCCTCCCAATGCTCTTTCAAATTACAGACCAAGAACCTGACGCAGGTAAATGAAATGTCACTTGCACAAAGGCTGTTCACACAGTCTATGCAGATTGTTAATTTGTGCCACTGCACATCCCTTCGCAGGAAAATGTGTGATTTAGTGCATGAATGTGTAGAAAAGATACTTAACAACTCTCTGCTTACACATAGCCTCCACCAGAAATATTTAGGAGGGATTTTTTGGTTAGCTTTGGGAAATAAAACTCCCATGGTTTAGCTCCCTAATGTGGCTCAATACTTGAGTTCCAGACACAGGTCTAAGGTAAAACTGAGTGTGGGTAGTGACCTCACAGAACTTGATGGATCTCAAACATCAAGTCCTGTTTTCAAGACTTTCCCAGTCCTTGCTCACTCAGTGCACACACACAGGAGTAGACCAGACACCATTAGCAACTAGCAATTTTCTTGTAGTTTCAGCCTGAATTTTACCTCCTTAAGAACTTTGTAAGGGGGAAAAAAAGCTTGGTTAGGCAGGACCACCCTTTCTGCTCTCTGTACTACAGGAGAAAGTGCTGAGCCTGGTCCTTGGCTGGCTTAACCTGTGAAACCACCTCACTTTTAAAGTCCTGTTGGCCCCTGAGCACCTCCCATCCCCTGTGGGTGCTGCCCAGCCCCTCTCCCAGGGAGCACAGGTTTTCAGCACAGACCCACAGGATGTCCCACACTGGTGCAGTGCCCCTGTACCCAATGGCACACCCACAGTAGAGTTCTGTTTCTTCAACTCCAATCACCTCTAATTGTTTCCTCCTCAGGCAAACTCTACCCAGCTGACTTTTGGGGTGATTTCTCCCATGAAGCAGCTCAATGCCAGTCCCTTACTTTGTTCAATACCTTCTCCATCTCTGCTGTATGAGTCTTTTTCAGGTCGAGTATCATTTTTTCTGTCTCTGCCTTCAGCTTTTTCACCAGTGCCTCCTGCTCTCGAGCTGCTTTCCTCTTCTCCTCATCCCGCTGACGGCTCAGCTCCAGCAGATGCTGGTTGTGCACAGCAGTTACCTCAATAAGCTCTTCCCTCAGCTTGTGGTTTTGGTTCTCCAAATTACAGATAACCTGAAAGAAAGGACGAACAAAGTGAGAAAACCCAAAGCCACAAAACCAAACCTGCTGGATTTGCCCGGACAGGTTGTTAGCTGGGGCAGGAACAGACTCAAAGGATGCTCTGTCCATTTTTCTGGGCTTTCCTCTTGCTCTTCCCTATCTCTCTGTGCATATAGATGAACACAGCTCACCCTGCCCAAAGCATGGAGGGAGCACATGCATGTTTTCATTCATAAAGGTCATTCTGAAAATGAGCATTTTCACAACAAACCACAGGATTCCCTCCCTTGTCCCTCCTTCTCCATACTCTGCAGTTCCCTGGAATTCTTTCATAGAATTCATCTCATACTGAGATGAGAAATTGATGTTTTACCAAACAGGTGACTCAGCTCAGGCTTATTAAAGGTATCACAAGAAAATCTGATGAAAACTAGTGTATGTTTGAAGTCCCCATTGCCCTGCAATGCCAGTTACTGAATCTAGAGCTCTGAACTGGTCTCTCTCTCCAACTGCTATTTTTCTTCTCTAGACATTTGTACTACACTGCCTGTACTCAGCTGAACCATCCATTTGCAGCCTCTGAGAGCCACATTACTACAAAACTCTGAAGAAGAAACATTCATTTCTGACCAAAGTTGGTACATGAATGACTATTAGATCTATTGCCTTGGACATTAATATCCCCAGACAGATTGTTATAAATCCTGTGATCTGAAAGAGACAAAAAAAAAAAATCAAGGCTTGAAAGTTTTGCCTGTTTTTTCAAGCTATTTGAACTATATAGTGTAATAAAAGACATGTCATCTCCCTTCAAGCCTTCAGTTTGTCCTTCAGCTATCACAGCTGTAACATGTATTAAATAATATTAACCATCTCAGAAACTGATTTTGCTTCCATGCTTTCTTAATTACTCATTGGCATTACTCCCTACTATGTCAAAGGTAAAATTGTGTGTATGGCAGGGAAGGAATGAGCACGTCATTTGTATACAGAAGTATAACACAGGCCACATATTTCAGCTCTATCAGCATTATCTCAAACATATGTTTCATATAGTATAATCTGCACTAGATCCTTTCCTTCCTTTCCTGAGCTTTTCCTCTACACATGTTTAATTTCTTGTTAAATCTGTATACAGACTAAAAATGTAAAGTACATTTTGGTATATAATTATAATCCACAATATACTTTTATAATTCTTTTGGAAAATGATTTCATCTCAAGATCACAAAAACACGACAGCCTGGCTAGCTTTCCCTTAACCAGAGAAATGCTAACCCTGTGAAGATAAAAGCTCCAATTTCTGTTGGATGATACGATCTGAGTTCCAAACTGACATACAGAGCATCTGAGCTTTGGGATGGTCACAATTCACTTTTAATCTCTGAGAGCCCTTTTTGAGAGCTCAATCCCTCACCATCACCACTTTCCTTCTTTTTATTTCCCCTCTTTCTATTTTAAAATCAAAAACTTCCTTAAACTCCACAAGCATAAGTGAAATTAAGATATTACATTGCTCAAAAGTTTCCTAAAAAGTTCATTAAAATATTTAGGATAAAAAAATAGGACAAACTGTTTATAATACAGAAAGTTCATTCATCAGTGATATCATAATCTAAAAGAAAGACTGGGTGAATTCCTGACTCAATTCTTACATCTTTTCTCCTTTACTTCATTCTATATTCAGTAATTCTTCTATAAAGTCATTAGAAAATGAAATGGCACAAAGAGTTTTCTACAGCCACAAGGAGAAAGTCACAGCTCCCAGTTTTGAGATCCAGAACTGGGGAGTGGGCTGAGAGTGAGCTGAGTGCTATAGGTAAAGTCACAGTAATTAATATGCAAAGGAGCATTAATGTTGGACCTAATAGATGGCAAAAGCAGATTTGGTTCCATTAGGAAAGAAGAAAGACTCCGAAGACGAAGCGATGGCAGCGAAACTAATATGATTAAAGGAGTCCCTTTGGAGCAACTTCACTGCGAGTAAGATGATGTTAAGAGACATCTAATCTCTCCAAAGTGACTGGAAAAAGCTTATATTGGGGATCACAGACACAGTTCTTGTCAATTACTTTCAAATAAGGCCAGTTCTCACAGCCAGATTAGTTTTTCCCATAAACAAAGTCAGTGGCAGAAGCAGCTTACACCCAACACTTGCTGCCTGAGACAACTTGGTGTGACATGGATATCTCCTAACTGCTGGAGGAAATGAATCCCAAACTTTCCATCACTAAGACTCTGCTATTCCACATGCCAGGTTTAATAAACTATTATTAGCCTTAAATGTCGGCAAATTAGGGGAAAAAAAAACCCCAAGATGACATAATTCTCAGTTGTGAAAAATCCATGAAATCTAAAACTTATGAGCAACTGTCTTTTCTTAACGATCCTGGGGGAAATGAAAAGCTGCAATTACAAAATCTCACTTCTGTAAAGGCATGATGCTTGCTTGACTGCTTTGTAAAACTGAATCCTCTTTCTCAGCATTGGTTTCTTAAATTCTCCTCCTGATTGCCCAAATCTCTGATTGTGATCCATCCCTACCAAAGGGGCCAAACAGTAACTTGAGTACAAGAGCTGCTGTGAGAAATACACATCTTAAACACTCCACCTGAGCAAATTGTCCTTGTACTAAACATAAGGAATAAAGACTTCATAGTATGTAACAGGTCCAAGATGTTATTGTCACTTGTCTTTCATGGATCAAAGTGTTCCAGTCTATTTTGGTTGTGTGGGTACAAGTACATGAAATAAAAGAGATCTGTACCTTTTTCCCAAAGGATGCAGAAGGATGACCATGCCATAGAACATGCCCCAGAGAAGGAAGTTTTGTAAAATGATACTTCATTCTCATAAAGGACAACAAATGGAAAGAAAACATTTGCTTACGTAGTATCAGAGAGTCATAGAATTACAGAATGGTTTGGTTTGGAAGGGACCTTAAGGATCATCTGGTTCCATCCCCTGCCATGGGCAGGGACACCTTTCACCAAGCCCCATCCAACCTGGTCTGGAACACTCCCAGGGATGGAGCAGCCACACCACAGCTTCACAACCTGTGCCAGTGTCTCCCAACTCCCAGAGTAAAGAATTCTTTTCTAATACCTCTTCTCTTTCAGCCTCCCCAACAGAACAGAAATACAAACACACAACCTGTGTGTCAGGGTAGAGATTTCCTCTGAGTTTATATGGCATATTTGTACCTGTACCTATGTGTCTCCATGTATGACAGTGCCACAGCTGTTAGAAACTGCTGGCTGAGGTGGTGATTTCTATTTCTGTTTCAGAGAAATAACTCAGAATTCTAACTAAGAATATCTGT